CTCAATACGCTAACTGCTTCATGGGTCATGGGTTGACATCTCTGCTGGATTCTCCGACACGATGTACTCCTTCTGGTCGGAACACGCTTATTGACCATATACTCAGTAACGTTATGTCAGTTCAGGAGGCCGGTGTGGTCAATTTTGATCATTATCCAATTTTTCTGTTAATAAAAACACAAACTAATTGTAAAAATAAAATGGTCAATGGGTGTCGTTTCGATTCTGCGAAATTCGTTGATTTGGTATACCGCTTTGACTGGGGGAAACTATCGCAAGAACCTTGTGTTAATAAAGCGTTTAGTACCTTGACTGAGAAACTAACAGGTATCATAAACTCGTGTACATCTGTATCCACCATATCGCGTTGGTACTCAGCCCCTAGAAACACGTGGATTACTAGAGGACTGCTGCGTAGCATAAATAAAAAAGATAACCTTTACAAAAAAGTAAAACTTCAGTCCGTTCAACCTGTCCCTCAGGACCCGCTTTAAACTCTATTCACAAACTCTTACTGTCCTACTCAAAAAAGCCAAACGAACCTACTATCAAAATAAAGTGCTCGAAAACAGGAATGACAGTAGGAAAAACTGGAACGTAATAAAGAATTCTTACATTTTGATCAGCCAGATGCACTTGAGACCGAATTTTCCGATGGCACCAGCGTTGTAACTTGCCCTGTCACTATCGCCAATTCTTTTAATGAATCATTTTTCAGCAACTCAGTATCGACTGTCACTAACTTACCTTCGTTGTCTCACTTGCCTCACTCTTTTTTCTTAAAACCCAGGTCACCTGCTGAGGTTCTTTGCACTATAACTAGTTTGAAGGCGACAGGATGTGGCCTGGATTCAATTTATCCAGCTAAAATCAAACTTGTTGTTCGTGAGTTATCTTCTGTGCTCTCAGAGCTTATTAACACCACATTTCGTTCAGGCATTTTTCCTACAATCCTCAAACAAGGAAAAGTAATACCTGTATTCAAAAAGGGAGACCGAAAAGATTTTTCTAATTATCGCCCTATAACAATCCTCCCATTTTTAGTAATGTAATTGAGAAGCTCATTGTGAATCGCCTAATGGACTACCTCACAAAATTTAACTTTTTGTCACATAAGCAGTTTGGTTTTCGTGCTAAGTTTTCTACAGAATCAGCACTGATTGAACTAACAGATATAGCATAAACCAGTCCATCGATAAGGGGCTCTGGGTAGGGGCGTTATTTATAGATTTAACTAAAAACTTCGACACTATAAACCGCTCTATTTTGTATGCTAAACTTAATTCCTTGGGAATTTGTGGGCCTACTTTAGCCCTTTTACAAAGCTACCTCGCTAACAGAACCCAAGTTGTCAATTATGGCGGTGTTTTATCCTCACTAATAATAACTAACCAGGGAGTCCCACAAGGCTCAATTCTGGGACCTCTCATGTTTCTTATCTAATTAACGACTTACCATCATCACCTAACTCATCTGACTGCATCCTTTATGCTGACGATACCACTATTTTTTCTAGTGACAAAGACCTTAACAATCTACTAGTAAAATTAAACACTGATGTCTGAAACTTGTTTCATGGTGCAAAAATAACTTGCTGAAAATCAACACTGTTAAAACAACTTTTATGTTATTACACTCGTCCCAAAAACGCGTTACGATTTAACCCGAAATATACATTGATTATAACTGCGTCATCACCCCATCAAAGTTCACTACTTTTCTAAATGTCACATTAGACCCTCAACTCAAATATAACATTCACGTGAATTCTGTCAGTCAAGAAGACTGCTTTTGGCATCCGCATACTCATTCGCACAAGGCATTGTTTTCAGCAACACATTTTAAAATCGCTTTACTATGCTTTCATTAACAGTCACCTAACCTACTGCATTTCATCCTGGTCCAATACCTACGCCACACACCTAACATCTCTCATTCACCTTCAGAAAAGAGCAGTCCGAGTAATCACACATAGTTCCTACACAGCATCAGCAGCATCCCCTCTTTAGAACTCTCGAAATTCTACCATTCATTTCCACCTTTCAACTCAAACTTGGAATTTTATTATTCAGAAGTAGAGTCGGTGACATTCCCACTGACATACTTCCCCTCACACATCTCCACAATACTAATAACACACGGTTTTCAGAAAATAGTAACCTTCTGCTTCCAAAAGTAAGTACTAACTACGGCAAAATGACAGCCTTGTCTGGAGTCTGTATGTTAACTCTATGAGTGAATGCTTTCAAAGAACCGGCAAGGTCAATCTAAATAGGTCGCGAAAGTCGGAACTAAAAATGGTCCGAAACCTATCGACAGATGATATTCCTACACCGTGCTGCCGACTGATTTTGCTGGCGCACGGCCGGCATGCCCTCGCCTTTGGTGACTGGGAACGCGACAGGCCAACGAAGAAGACGCTGGACTCTACGGCTGCCAAAGCTATATCTTCAAGACTGCTGTCTCGCTGCAGGTGGTTTTCAACGATTGACCAACGTGACTTTGCGAACTATTGTGTTCATGAGCAGCACAATTGCCTCGGCGAAGTTTCTTGTGCATATTGCAACTACGTCATGTGGCTAATTAAAAAAAAACTTGCTTTCACAATCTTTGTTTCTTTCCTCTCTCACATGAATTAGCGAGACACAATTAAGGAGTAATAAAATCGCGCAATAATAAAAGCACGTAGCAGGTCAGCAATAAAAAAAATTTCAATTTCGCGCCATGTAAGACAAATGCACGACGTAGCTACCGGTCGCTTCTGGTTGTGACGTCAGTGCTGTATTGGGGGCTGGCTGGTCCCGACGAAGCAGAAGAAGAAGACGGCCGACGGAGACGTACGCGACCGGCGGGGACTCCGACCAGCCCGAACACGCGGGTTGGCGCGAAACGCCGAAGAGAAGAACAACAACCGCACTCCACGGTTACCCAACACACACTGCTTTTATTTACAGTCGCCTTGAAATCCTAGATGCCAGAGCGGCGCCCCCAGGCATCCTCACATGTAAATGCGAAACCGAAACCCAGAACACAACAACCATCCTCTCCTCGAAAAAAGTTCACCTATACACTGTTTATATTTATGCATGATCGATACAAAAGTATATACAAGGTATGTACGTTAGAACACATGAAAATTCGGAGCATGGAACACCGAACTCACACACATACGAGCCCTGAAAATGCACTGACAAACAAAAAAATGTACACACTGTTCGGAACAAGAGTTCTACGTCCCGTAGTCTTCGAACCCACGCGGCTACTGCCGCTTCCGCTTAGGGCGGGCCCTTTTGGGTGTAGAATAAGGTGTCTCTGCACCTTGGTCACTTCTGCTCTGATGTGACACATCAAGAGCAGTGGAAGATTGTGAAGGCTCTGAACGAGCGTTAACATTTGCGGTCTCATCAGAGCTCGCAGCATGAGCTTCGGAAGAATTTCGCGGACCGGAGTCCAGTTCAATGGTCTCAGCCGTATTTGAAAGTTCGAAGTGAACCGTATGACTTGGTGTACTTGAACCAGCGACACCGACTGGTAACTCCTCCCCGCTTGAAGAAATGCCTGTACATGGAGGCCACATGTAATAATCTGATGGATAGTTGAAAGGCGCAGACGGAACGTGATGGGGAAGAATTTTAGGTGTTGAAGGCGAATCCGTATGAAAAATAACAAGGCGCGAAGCATTCCAGATGTTACCATCACTTAAGCAAAACAACGAAGTGGGGCTAACCTGGCCCAAGACTTTGTAAGGACCCCGATACTTAGGGCGCTTGCCTGGCACACGAACCTTGACTAGATCGCCAGTGCGAACTTTGGACTGCTTTGCACCTCGACGGGTGTCGACATACTTTTTCATTGCTTGTTGATGAGAAAAAACTCTGGTACGGGTTTGATCAGGAGAAGACACTGCTATGTTACGAGGCAAAGAGACTATGTCGAGAGCAACTCGCGGTTGCCTACCGTGGAGAAGTTGAGCAGGAGACACTCCAGTTGTGCCTTGTGGTGTGAACCTGTACGAAGCTAAACATTCAGTCAAGACTTGCTTGAGGGGACGGTGCTCTAATTGTGTGATCTGGATATGTTCCTTCAGAACTCGATTAAAGCGCTCGATTTGGCCATTTGATTGGGGATAGAAAACTGATGACCTCAAGTGCTGAATACTTCGTCGTGAAAGAAAAGCCTCGAAATGTTGGGATTGCAACTGTGGACCATTGTCCATAACTATGGCATCAGGAAAACCTTCCCGGCTGAAGATTGAAGACAGAAACTGAATGATGACCTCAGAAGTAACCGTATGTGTGAAACAAATTTCTGGCCATTTGGAATGGTAGTCGATGAGAGAAACAATGAACCGGACATTTTGCGGAACATTATGCAAAGGACCGATGATGTCCATGCCGAGTTTCTGCCAAGGCCGATCAGGCCACTGGACTGGCTGCAACGGAGAAAATGCAGGTTTGGAAGACTTGTCAGCTGCCTGACATATATGGCAGTTGTAAACTGCATGCTCGACCTCCTTGTCTAAGGCTGGCCACCAGTACCTGTCTCGGAGATTCTGTTTGGTGCGGACAATACCTGGATGGGCCTCATGACCAAGCTGTATTAGCTTGTTACGGAAAGAAGCAGGGGGAATCACGCGTTCATCGCGGAAAAGCAAGTCCTCGACCCAACACACACTGCTTTTATTTACAGTCGCCTTGAAATCCTAGATGCCTGAGCGGCGCCCCCTGGCATCCTCACATGTCAATCCGAAACCGAAACCCAGAACACAAAAGTCACATTTTATTATTTCGTTTTTGCTCTTAGTTGTCCTCTCCACTCGTAGATGGCGATGGTGGTAACAAGCCGCCGATGGGCTTCTATGGAAGTTACGCTACCAGTTTACATATACCTTGGAATCGGCGCGCGAGCTACGGAACGGTTTGATACGAACCAGTGCTCACCTCGAACCCTGCCTCAGCCGTTAAGTCCAGTCAGTCCTGCCGTAGCGGATCGTTTCAAACATGGAAGAATACATCGCCCGCTTGCACCATAGACTGGAGGTTCTCAAGCTGTGCGTCTCCCTGTGCAAGGTATCGACCGACGACGCTTACTTCGTGAAGAACGCGCGTGCCAAGCTAGTCGACGCAAGCGAGCACCAGCGGCGCATCGACGAATTGCTCAAGCAGTACGAAGAGGTGAAGGAACGAGAAGCGAAGATTCTCACCGACTTGGAGGTCCGACTGCAGCTCGCCGAGTGTCAAAAGTCGTTCGTGGAGGGTCTCGGAGAACCCAAGTCTCAGCCAAGCGGCGTCGCTACGCAAGGTTCGTCTCTGGCCGCGGGCGATAAGCCTTGTCGCCAGCAGGTTACCGCTGGATCCAAGCACGTCACGAACCTCATCGCTCCCCTAAGCGAAGAGGAATTCTCCAGCGTCCCCAAGTACATGAAGGGTCGGTTCACGCTCGCCGCGATCAACAAACTCGTCGACGGTTTCAACAAGGCGATCGCGTCCAAGTACCAACTCTTGGCGCTCCCCAAGTCCCGCCTGAAGGATGCCAGTGGAAGCGTGTCACCACCTACCAGATGCAGGAGACCGCCGAGACGAAGAGGCTCAGCTTCGTGGTCGACGCCGACCTGACCGGGAAAAGTGGCGGTGGTGCTGCCTTCGAGTCCAGTCGAGTCGTCACCCAGTTTGCTGTGGTGATGCGACACTGCGGAAGGATACGCGAGATACGGGGTCCCGAACGCATAGTGCGTTACGTGGTGGTCTGATAAGCAGCAGTCACGAACTGATCTCAAAGCACACCACGTCTTGTTACTGATGCGATGATAAAACCCCCCCATTAAAGTTTCAAGGCCGGTGTGGCACGCTTGGACGGCATTAAATTTTTATTGCATTAGCGTGCCTCACTTTGCGTAATTTCAATCGATCGATTCATTGATTGATTGATTATTTGATATGTGGGGTTTAACGTCCAAAAACCAACATATGATTATAAGAAACGCCGTAGTGAGGGGCTACGGAAATTTCGACTACCCGGGGTTTTTTAACGTGCACCCAAATCTGAGCACGCGGCCCTACAGCATTTTCGCCTTCATCGAAAATGCAGCCGCCGCAGCCGCGATTCAATCCCGCGACTTGCGGGTCAGCAGCAGAGTACCTTTAGTCACTAGACCACCGCGGTGGAGCAGCACCCTAATTTCATTTGCGATACTTCGGCAAACATGTTCCCATATCGAAGCCTACGGGTATTTGTAATCACGATAACACCACTACGAGCGTGCATGTTCCTTGAAACCGAAACTAGTGATACTTTTCCAAAGGTTTACAGCCTATTTTCATTCAAATATTGTATGAAACATGAAACTCTACCGTTGACACGGTACAAGAATGGTAATGCCAAATAGTAAACAAACCTAAAAACGCTTTCTTCTTCTGCGCGCAGGAAACGACATGCATGACCATTTCATTTTTCGTGAACGTAGTGTATATAAAGATCACAAAATTTAAGTTTGTTATAAGTGAACACACTTGTTTATTATTTATACTGCAATAACTTGAGTGTTTCGAATTGATACATTTAGCGCTTCCTTCAAGCATTGTAATGGCAACAATGACAACGTTCTAACATGGAGGCGTTCTCGTGGTTAATCATGGAGGAAGAAAGTTTTTTTTCCCTCCTCCATGTGGTTAACTATCTAGGGTGGCTAAAACGGAATGGTGGCGGCGCTCTCACTGCCTAGCGAGGCCCCATTGCGCGTCTTCGCGGCGAGGAGGGGTGGGGGATTTGGCGCGTCAGTCAGGGGCGCCGTTGGCATCACATGCCCACTGTGAGCATACGTTTATCGTGTCTCGTACGGGGCAGTGAAAGTCAGCGGTCGCTTTCAAGGAAGTACGGCCTGTTTTTTTTTTGTTTTTTTTTTGTCGCTTTCCGGTTCCCTGAAGGAGATGGTGTCAGCGGATGTCGTCGATTTTTGAACCGCTCTGACGAATACCGTCGACGGGAAAGAACAAAAAAAAAACGCAGAGGTGGTGTTTTGTTCCAGGTTTCGACGGCGGCTACAAGTCCTGCGTTAAAATAAGGTCTCTTCGATTTGGCTGCACTGGAGCTGGTGCAGTGGTGTCTTTTCTGCACGTCTTTTTATATGTGTGTCTCGAGCAGAAAAATCCAACGTGATTGACTGCAGTAAGAATCATAAAAAAATAAAAAGGTTAAGGAATAGAGATGTAGCTCGAGGCGCAAGCTGTGCGCTGACTTCGTCTTTACGAAAGCGTGAAGCTGATGCGACAGGAAGCCTTGAAAAATACGTTTAAGTTGAAACATGTATTCACGGGAGGTTGCGTATCTTATAATGATACAACGGGAACAAAAGTGACCCAGTGTCACTGGTCCCGTTAATTCGGGAGGCTATCGCCGGGCTAATTCCAAGGGTCGAAGTATCGGCCCCCCGAACCGCACCACGAAAGCATGGACAATTTAGAAGTGGTACTGTTTGGCGCGCCAGCGGACGCCGGCTGTGGCCCAAAGAACAAGTCAGAGCCGAGAGTTTATAAACAAAACAAAATTATATTCTCAATTATGGCAGATCAAAACAATACACAAGTATGCACACTCCACAATAGTTGAATACAATATGTCACCAATCAAACAACGTACTACACAGTACAATCAGCCACACTCGAAACAACGGAGACAGACAACAATACGCACTACAATTCAGTCGCATGCATCGAACAACCAAGACACTTAAAGACTAAAGAGTTAGAAAACTTATTCAGTCCAAAGTTCTTAGAACAAGAGTCTGAATGATACTCTTCCGAGAATCACTCACTCAAAGTCCAGCGTTGTTGTCGTTCCGCTGCCCCCGAAGTTTCTCTTCCAGGAAGCCTCGCGTCTTCACTTGGCCGCTCTCCAAGCTTCAAACTTCTTCGCCGGAAACACGTCGGCTTCCCACACGCAGCTGTTGCCACGCGTCTTCGCTCGATAGCGGTAGACACACACTCTTGCCTGTAGCTCGGGTCTTCACCCCTCAGTTGGAAATCCTCTTCTTCTCCACTTCCTTCCTCTCCTCCTTTGCCACGGAAGACAAAAGTCTTCGCCCACAAGACGGTACACCCTACGCACTCTGGCGCATACTTTCTTCTTCTCCTGCTTTGTCACTAAGGACAAAACCTTCACCGACAGACGCGGCGGGATACCCTACGCACTCTGGCGTTAACTTCCCTCTTCTGCTGATCTCCCATCTCCACTGCTCGGTTAAATACCTTCAGCGCGACATTCCAGAAAGTTCTAATCATTTCGTCGGCGCGATACGCAGCGAAGACTGGGGAGAGGGCGAGACGGTTCGAAGGCCGTCCGCGAGAGATGACGCAACCCAGCATCACCCCGCCCCTTTCCATCTAGAACATTCCAGGGCTTGCTCAGGCGCCAATGAGAGGAGGTTCGTCGGCGAACCCACGCTTCCGAGGGGAGGACGCGCGCCCGGGGAGTTTTTGGATGCCCTTTTTCTTTTTTTTTATCGTTGACCTCGCAGCGTCACTCCGGCGTTTCATCGCGAGAATTTGGCGGCGCGCCCTTTTTTGAGCGCTCGTTTTGTGACACCCAGTCGGTCAAGGAATCACAGAGATTTTTCGCTTTTTCTTGCTCTATGACCCCGCACGCACTTAAATAGAAGGTCGACAGAACGGGATTGAATACAAAACCGCTAAATCATCGTTTTACACATTCTGCATGAACCGTCTCTTGAGATTATATACTCATGGAACGATCAAACAGCGTTCCTGTACCCGGGAACATGACTGATATTTTCACGTACAACGAGCAGGCGACCAACTAAAACACAAACCCCATCAACACCTTTTTTGTTACTGTACAGATCACCGTTGTCGGAATCATCGACGCTGTCGAGCAATTGTTTTTTTTTTGTATGACATGAAAACAGCCATCGCGGCAGTATTTTGGTAAACAACGCCATCGATACACGCCGCGTGTGTCGACGGTAAACTACACCGCGATACGCACCACGACCCTGCCCGCAAGGATGATTGAGAAATGTGGACACGTGTGATACCAAGGGCCGACAAGCCACTGCAAGAGAATTCTATAGTTTGGGAAAGGCATTTTCACTCAAGTATGTAATTCTTACATGTATGCAATTCTTACATGTTTAAGCCATTATAAAAGCGGAGGTTTCTTCAACTTAACACATTGGCGTGTTTGACGGCCCCGTGGGAGAAACGCCTCGTGGGCAGCAGAGCTGTAATGGAAAGAGCCAGACTAAAGCATCACGTGTGTCCATTTTCTACTTAGAGGGCTTGAACAGCATGCTACGCGGAATAAAACAAAGAAGGTGAAGAATGTTTTCTTGTACTGTTTCCAATAAACTTGAATGAAACTACCAGTATTATACTTTCATACATGCTTTGATTGCATTTCAGAAAAAAAAAACTACATTGACTTCCGCTTTTTGAATTACTATAACAACCCAAACACAACAACTAATCTGCGAGTGACACACGCAGGTTTGTTCTAATCAGCCAGTGTGCGGGAGCGATTCTTCTAAACTGCTTTTCATATTACATGAGTTTTTCATAGTTTCTCGACGAATACAACACTGATTAAATAAGCCTATCAGCATCGAAAACGCTCCAGCGTTCAAACTGAGCGCATTCGAATCCTCTGCCTGCCCAGAGGCAAGCAGACGACGCGAGAAAAGCACAGCGCCCCCGCTGACGACGCCATCGCGCGGCAGGAACGCGCTTTTGGGCCAGCCTTCGGAGGTCGGTCATAACACCTCGCCATTTTAGCCACCATAACTTATCCGAGTGATTGAATAACTCATGTGGTTATAGCTTTTATGGCCCCGCAGCCCAGCTTTTCCTCTGGAGTCTGTATGTTAACTCTATGAGTGAATGCTTTCAAATAATCGGCAAGGTCAATCTAAATTAGGTCGTGAAAGTCGCAACTTAAAGTGGTCTGAAACCTATAGCGACAGATGATTGAAGCGCGTCTAGGTTAGAGGGAGAAAAAAGCGAAAACGAAAAAAATAATTAAAAGTTTATTTTAAATGGTTTTAAATTTATTTCTTGTAAATATAGTAGATTACTTTATTAAGCTTTGGTAGGTGGTTGAGTCCCATTGTTTTTCGTTTATTTTAAGAAACAGTGGGCACATGCACCGAGCTTGTGTTTAGTTCGGCGCATTACCAAGTCAACGAAGCGACGCTCACCTTTCCGTGGTGGTTTCGTGCGTACCTTCAGAAGTTTACTTATGTTATGTGCATTTCATAGCTCAATTAGCTCACAGAATGTGTAGATAGCCGCTCCTGTGACTGCCGACTCCTTTTGCTGGGGCACGGCCGGCGTGCCGTAGCCTTTGGTGACTGGGAATGCGACAGGCTAACCAACAGGATGCTGTACTCTACGGCTGCCAAAGCTATATCTTCAAAACTGCTGTTTCGCTGCAGTGGTTTTCAACGATTGATCAACGTAAGTTTGCGAACTATTGTGCTATTGTGCTAATGAGCAGTTGTCTCACAATTGCCTCGGTGATGTTCCTTGTGCATATTGCAACTACGTCATGTGGCTAATAAAAAAACATTGCTTCCACAGTTTTTGTTTCTTTTCTCTCTCACGTGCAATTAGCGAGGCGCAATTAGGGCGTAATAAAATCGCCCAATAATAAAAGCACGTAGCAGGTCAGCAATAAAAAAAATTTCGATTTCGCGCCATAAAAGACATGCTTGACGTCGCTACGGCTTCAAATTTTGACGTCATATTTTTAGTATTTCTTTTTTTGCTGTTAGTTGTCCCCTCCTCACGTAGATGGCGACG